AGGATGTTCAAAATTAAGTCTTTTGTTTTTCTTTAAAAATGTCAGTGCTGTAGGTTGTGTGTGTAAAAGCAACCTTTGCAGATAGTTAAGTGTTCAGGGGAACGAAATGAGCAACAATATTTATCAGTGTCAGCCGTTCTGTTGAATAAGATTTTATAATAAACTTATTAGTGACTGCATCAAACGCCCATGCACGTATTTAAAATTTTAGCCAGTCACATTTCTACACAGGCCCAAAGAATTGTGGCATGCCTGTGCTCAGATATCCTGCTGGAAAGTTTAGTTGTGGTTTGCATCATCATGCATGCAGGACAGTGAGCACTAGCACACAGCTACTACTCCCTGAGGTGCCGCATATAATCTGACTACGGGTTGATGCCATAGACAAACATTACAATGGTTACCTTTTTAGTACCGGCTGGTAATAGCAAGCCCTGACTGCTCGTCCTACCAGGGAGTAATATTTTGCTGATCCTCCGTGCCTTGCATGCGTAATCATAAAAAGCACAATTAAACTTCCGGGTGGAATATCTCAGAGCATAGACATGCTCGAAGAATTTTGCCCAGTGGCATTGTGTATAAACACGACTGCCACAAATTTTTCCATGCAAACATACCCAATTTCGTTATTATTAGTTGATTGGGCAGCTGACAGCATTATTATCTTACATTGTGTCTCCCTGGACACATAACTTATCTGCAAAGGCGGTTTCCTCTTCTTGGAGCTGAATTTTAATGCAAGCACAAAGCACGTCCCTGATTGTGTCTGAGGTACTTCCTAAGCTTTTATGTCATCTTTAATTTTTACGTAATGTGCAGTTTGTCACTTGAAAGTGAACTTCTTGCACTGCAATAAGGCTGTAGCAAATCAATGATTTTATTTTCACTGTAATATTGACTGAATATTTTGTTTTAATATGTTTTTGTAACCTTAGTTCACTGTCTTCTCGAATTCAATGCCATAAGTGCAATAAAATAATTTTCTACTCTCATACCCAAGTTTGTCAATACCTAACCATGTGTGGACGAAGGAAGTGCTTAACAACGCAAACGACAGAAGGGGATAGAAGAGACGAGAACAGAGCGCTGTCGTTTGCGCTGTTAAGCACTTTCTTCGTCTACCATGTAGCACCAACCAGCCCAACCAAGCACCTTGTTAAAAACCATGTGTCATATATTACAGCGATACGTAACCATGTTTAACATTGTTAATGATAACTGATAACATTGTTAGTGATAACATTGTTAATGATAACCTAATAACTTTGACTACTCATGGTTCTAACATACCTAAATTTAAGTGCACTGAATGAAAAAAAAGTTAGTTGTTCGACTGGTACTTTTTGGCTGTAACCAATTTTTTACCTTCATATCTTTGTTAAGCTAGCCGGCTAATTTTCGTTGCACTGATAGAAGTCTGTTCGAAGAAAACATTTTGTGCCTTTTGTATGTGTGCAGGTTCCTGGACCAAGCATCTGGCCAGCACTTCAACCGCTTTGTATAATCATAGTTACTATAAAGCGTGCAAGTTTTGGGACAAAGTGTGTAGTCATTGTCATGTATAATAAAGGTTACAAGTATGCAACGAGATTTGTTGAAATTCTGCATTTACTTTTGGATGTGCAGTATCATGCATTCCAGGCAACACCAGAAACGAAAATGAATTTACGTTTTAAAAGCCTGTCTTGTCTCCATGAAAAACAGATTATCACAATGATAGACAACAAACACTAATTCATTCTTTCAACAAATAGGGCACCAATTTTGCTGGTTACAAAAGTACCAGCAACCATTTTGCTGCCAAATTATGCTACTGTCCCTACTTGTCAATCTCAACAGTGAATAGCTAAATGCACTGATTGCAAAACGCTGACATGATGCAACAAAATTAACCACGGGAAACGCTCAACAAGCTGGTTTGCATGAAAAATAAATGTTTAAGCAAGGTGTTAAAAGATCTGGCAAAACCCATTCAGAATTTTGGCAAGAAGTTTACTAGGCTTCGAATAATGTAAGTGTAGTAAAGGCTTACAAAGGTTCTTCAAAAAATCTAGGAAGACGTTTTTTTAGAATTCTTGCTATAAGTTTTCTAGCCGTATAATAATGTGGCATTAGCACAGCTACAGGAGGTTTCCAAGCTGCTTAGGCTTAAATAACATCTCAACAAGACTTCTTATATACCTTTGCACTATCCTTTTTGGACATTTACTAGAAGTTTTTTTAGCTTTTCTTGTGTTTTGCGTGTTTCCCTCCTTCTATCGAAGGCGATGGCATTTCTGTGTAACTTCACGGCCTCCATCTTGATTTTTTTTCCCTCTTGTTTGATGCTTACTGGTTTCGTCCTTTTTTTTCATCCCGTCCTTTTAGCACGAGCGAGGTCAGCATCCCACAGATATTCCACCACAGATATTTAACAAATTCTATTATTTCTCCCCCCCCCCCCTTTTTTTTCTTTTTCTTTCTTTTTTTAACATTGCGCCAAATTAATTTCACATTCAAAACACAGTATTCATATTCCCCTAATCTAGAAAATCTATAGGTATTTACTTGCATTAACCACCGGCTTCTTGGCCAATCCCCCTTAGTGGGTGAGAGCCACAAAAGAAAGGAACAAGCAAGCAAGCAAGCATCCGAGGTGTACCTCAGGGGTCAGTACTTTCCCCGGTTTTATTCAACATATTGCTTAGTACCATCCCCGTTCATCCAGAAGTGAAAACCTATGTTTATGCCGATGACATTGCTTTCTTTGCTATGTCACATGACTTCCACTGTCTCTACACTATCTTGCAAACATATCTTAATAAAATAGAACATTGGTTGGATGGATTGATGTTGAACCTCAATACCGGTAAATGTGCTATTCTCGTTTTTCCAATCAAAGATCCCGTGCACATATCCATTAATTACAAGCTTCAAGATATCCCACAAGTACAATCATTGAAATATCTTGGAGTTATGTATAATGAGCATCTAAATTGGCGCCCTCACATTGAATACATCGCGACAAAAGCAGTACGCGCGATGGGGGTATTGCGGAGGTTGAGCAATTGCAGATCAGGTATGAGAAGAAAGGCACTTTTGATTATATATAAAATGTATGTCCGACCTGTGTTGGAGTTTGGCTGCATTCTTTTTTCTGGTGCGCCAGCCTACAAACTTCGGCCGCTCGTTCTGTTGGAAAGAGAGGCTTTACGGCTCTGCTTAGGACTTCCAAAGTATACTGCAAATGCAGTGTTATACCTTGAAGCACGAATACCAACCTTATTATGTCGCTTCAACATTCTTACTGTGCAGACCTTTTTACGACTATATGAAGCACCGTTTAACCCTGAACAAATTATTTTTATTTCCAATCCTGACCTATTCTTCTCCGTGCATTGGCCCAGATTTACCAAACCACAAATAGTATTTGTTCAATCGTTACTTGAGCCCCTAAATGTACACGTTCGTGATCTGATTCCTTTAACTGAGCGACAAAATTCTCCAGAAATTGTTTACCATGATATCTTCCCAACTCACGCAAAGCTATTACCTACAGGCATTTTAAATGGTTTATTGCAGGACCATTTAAGTACTCTGCCAACAAATGTCATTATAGCAACGGACGCATCTCAATCACATGAAAAATCAGGCGTTGGAATATATTGCCCCGTACTTGATTGGTCATTTTCACTTCGCTTACCGGACTTTCTTCCTGTCTTTCTGGCTGAATTCATGGCAATAATGTTAGCTTTGCGAAAGGTAAATATTTCCATTCCAGTTGTAGCAGTCATAACTGATTCATTATCAGTGTGCTCTTCTCTGTCCGCATCTGGTCACTCACCTGTAGTGAAACTTTTTAAATCTTTGATCCCCAGTCATCTCCGAAGTATTCATTTAATCTGGACACCAGGGCACAAAGGTTTGTTTTTAAACGAAATAGCTGATTCTCTTGCAAAGGCATCCCTTTCGACACCAATTATTCCTATTTTCCCCCATACAGTATACATTACGGTGGCGCGATTTCGCACACTTAAAATCAGACAAAATTTATCTGACCCTGCACTGACGGCTTCTCCAGAGTACAAACACTTGTTATTTCCCTGGCGCAGTGAACTGACTAAATCAAGGATGATGGAAGTTGTCATCACGAAATTTCGTTGCCGCGTTACCTCCCTCAATTTTTACTTGCATAGATCAGGCATATTGAATTCCCCTATGTGCATTTACTGTAATCAAGAGGAAACGATTAGTCATTTTTTATTACATTGTCGCCGTTTCGATTTATTCAGGCAAAGCATACTAGCACCACCTCTTCAAAGACTGGGCTTGCAACTATCACAGCCTGATCTTCTTTCATTTGGAGCCTCTACACTGGGTTTCAGCCACAGGGATGTTTTATTCGCCGTTCAAGAATACATCACTGCGACTAAACGATTTTCTTGCTAAATTGCTGTCTCAAAATTTTTCTTATTTTTTTTTCTGCAAACTTGATATCGGTATTTCAAATCAAAATTAAGTTACAAAAAATTGTAGGAATGACACAATGCTGAAAGTTTTGGGCAAATTCACCTTAAAATCGGCCAATCCCCTTCTTTGGGTACGAGCCATTTCTACAGGGAAACAACAACAACAACAACAAGCATCCCACAGAGCCTTTCAGGTGCCCATCGAAGTGGGCCACAGGAGAGACTGAGCAACGCAGACACAAACGACAGCGAATTCAGTCACCAGCGGGAGCAACAGCGTCGCCGTATTCATGACGGATATCTAAATGGAATGCTCACAAGACTGTCAAGGCAGCACAATGGCTCTGGTGTTCGGTAAAACAGTAGTGGTCTAATCGGCTGGCAATGCAAGCGCGCATGATGCGCAAACAGTGGTTTGTTTTTTGTTGGGTAGCTATGAGTACGCGTGTTTTCCTGAGGCGCGACAAAAGCCACATCTTAGCAACGACGCAATAAAATCTAATGACGCGCGAGAAAAACACCGTGTGCAGTGTAGTAGTGGAGGAGGCGCACCTGAGGCACATCGGAGGCGGACCTTTCGATCTCATCGATGGTGCTCTTGGACATCCCGCCGTCCCCTTGGAAGTCGGACGAACAGTCCACTGACAATATGATGGGATCTTTGGACGCACCAGGTTCAAAATCCTTTGGTATGTCGCCCACATCTTCTGACAGCCTCGGTTCGCCCGTCAACGAAGAATCAATCTGCGTTCTTTCGTCCGTCTCCGCGGGCGCCGCCATCACGCCGGCGGATGCATAGAGTTTCTCAAAATTAACTAGAGGGCACTCTGGCGCTGAGATCGTCCAGCGACCATGGGAATGATGGGTAGTACCACCGCCTCCTCTAGGATAGAGTGTACTACACGGAGGAAGGAAAAGGTGGTGTACTAGAACTTTTGAGTGGCGCGACCGAAACGCTTTCCCCTTGCTTTCTCCATCCCCAACTTGTGGCGAAAGTAGCGGCGGCGCTGCCATCGCCCAATCTTCCCACTTGGTTTACTCGGCTGGCTCGGCGGCATGGCCGGCATCTCGGTTTTAGTCGCGAAATGACGAAAAAGTAGCGTCTAAACAATTGTTATGCGCCATATTGCACAACTGGATATCCGCGTGTGCAACAAAGTCGGAAGTTATCACTTTTTAAGACCCCGAAAGACGAAGAACGACGACTTCTTTGGGAGCGGAACCTCCATCGGCTTGACGCCGATTGTGCTGTGTGCGAGTTACATTTCAAACCGCATTTCATTGTGAGAGACTACGTACATGTTATCAATGGTGTTCAAGTCCGAATTCCTAGGGGAACGCCGACACTTGCCCCTGATTCAGTCTCGACGATCTTGCCCAACCTGCCTGCATATTTGACGCTCAAAACTCCGGCTCCGCGAACCCAAACAAAGCGGCGTCATCAGTGTGTGCCGGCTGAGAATGACAACAGAAAACGGCGACGCATTAGCACTCCTGCACAGCTCCTTGTGGATACCAATGGTGCAACTTCTGCAGATGGCGACGAAGCTGACGAGGCAAGCTCAAGTCCCTCGTCTGACGCGGTTGTCACTCTCGGTGACCTTCATGATCTTGTCCTACCATCAAAGTCATGGGCGCTGCACGAGTTTCCTGGATTTGCTGGCGTGTCGTACGTAGCGTGCTCACTGAATCCTAGCACTCGTGAACTTTGCATTCAACGAGCCGTATACTTCACCTGTGCAGACAATGGAATCGTGCAATGTGAAGCGTTCGTGCTAGAGAAACTAATCAGCAAGTCCAGTTTAGTAACTGTTCGAGAAGCCTCAGATGCTCTGCAGCTTGTTGCAAGCATCCCACTCTGTTGTAGAGCAGCAGAAACTTCATTTTTGCCACCATCGGACCTTACCCACGGTCTACACGCGCAAATGAAGTCAAGATGAGAAATCTTCTACAGTGTCAAAAGCGCACAGAAGCACCTAAAATTGAGTAGGCTATAAATTGCTACAGTGGCGTAAAAAGGATGTCGTTTTTCGTGCATATTTTCTTACGCTTTAATTTTTTGATGGTACACCAAGAAGAAAAAAAATTTTTTCTAGAAGAGGCTTGTAAGCGAGAGAAAGTGCAAATAATGACGCGAAATCGCAAAATAAATCTTTGATCTTGAATCTTTTTGTATTAAACCTGTGATGGTAAATTTAGCAGCATTAGGTATCTCGGTGCATAATTCATCGATCTAAGCCAATTCATTGTTGCACTTCAGTGTCCCTTCAAACGGTCTTTCGACCATAACATCTTTTTATTAAATGCATTTTGGAAAGACAACCTTAACTCTGTCATTCTGTTTGCTTTGCTTTATGTTATCTTTTGTATCCTGGCTCTATATATTACGTTTTTTACAATTTACCTAACTGCAAATGGATTGCTTCATAAATATGTAAACCTTGAATTTTTATGTTATCAATTATGATTAACATTGGTTACGACTCTGCTTTGCAGTGTTGTTGCGTTTTTTAAACTCTCGAAATCTTCCACTACTATGTTTCACCTAAGACATTCTTTTGCAGTATTACGTATTTGCATTTCTGTGGGTCCTACAACAATGAATCAATTCCCATATTTTAAAACCAAAGGGATGTTTGGAAAAACTCTGCTGTTCTTCAAATATCATCAATAAAGCGTGCTTTTTTGTCGTGTGTGCACGCAGCCACAAGCAATGAGCCTTTTATTTGAGTCCAGCTTTGGTGTTTTACGTGGAATGGACCAAGAGTTCTTCGTTGTGAGTGCACCATATTTCTTTTCTTTTTTTTTGGGGGGGGGCGCTTCCGGTGTGTACCGGCCAGCTGGTTTCTCGTCTAAAATGTGTACACTTTAAAAATTAAAAAAAAAACGCGCTCGTTATATTGTACAATGTGCTATGCTGCTCCGGGCTGCAGTGCGGGCCTCAGTAACTTCAATAACAATAAAGTCAAATAACCTTTATTTGCACGAAAAAGGGGAGTTATGTGAATAAGGAAAAAAAAAGAGGGAGATCATCTTCACACTAGGCGCGACAGAGAGGTACCAACACGTACGCGGAACGCCTGCCAGCCATCCGCCCGGGAAGATTGGTCGACGCCAGCGCCACCGCACCTATCCACGCCGAAACGGCCGCTCCCAGGCAGCTGCTCGCGCCACTCAAAAGCTTCTAGTACACTCTATCTAGGAAGAGGAGGCGTTGGTAGTACTATACCTTCTAGTTCACTGTAGTAGTACCAACGCTCCTCTAAACAATGCCTGGGGAATGGCTCGCGCTCCCAGCGGAGTTGGCCCGCCTTCAGTTTTGAGCAAGCGCCGCGCGGTGGCGCTCGCGACCGAGACTATTTATCACCCTTATTATTCATGATGTACCTACAAGGATTAGAGGCAAAATTAGAGGGAAGTGGACTGGGCTTCAACCTCTCTTTAGTCAAACAAGGAAAACTTATTGATCAGGCACTACCAAGGAGGAGGTTTTTATATCCTCCTTGGGCACTACCAGCATTAATGTACGCACATGATATAGTGCTAATGCCCAACAACAAGGAAGATTTGCAGAGATTGATGGACATCTGCGGTAATGAGGGAGATAGGTTAGATTTTAGATTCAGTAAGGAAAAATCAGCAGTCATGATTTTCAATGACAACGAAGGTAGTGAGCTTAGAACACAGGAGGTCACGCTAGAGATAACAGATAAATACAAATATCTGGGCGTATGGATAAGCAATGGGACCAAGTATCTGAGAGAACACGAAATATACGTGACGACTAAAGGTAACAGCCTAACGGTCCCGACGTGGGAGTCGCCCGCTGCGCGCTGACGCGCGCCTTGCAGGACCCCAATAAAGTTTCGCAACCAACCAACGCACTAAAGGTAACAGGAATGCAGCAGTCATGAAAAATAGGGCACTGTGGAATTGCAATAGATATGATGTTGTGAGAGGAATATGGAAAGGGGTCATGGTTCCTGGGCTGACTGACGTTCTGCAATGCGGTCTTGTGCATGAGATCAGAAGTTCAAGCAAGATTAGAAATTAAGCAACGTGGAATAGGTAGGCTTGCTTTAGGAGCTCACGGGAATACACCAAATGAGGGAGTACAAGGTGATATGGGATGGACATCATTTGAGGGCAGGGAAGCTAGCAGCAAGATAAAATTTGAGAATCGATTGAGAGAAATGGGGGAAGAGCGTTGGGCTAGGAAGGTTTTCAGCTACTTGTACATGAAGAATGTCGATACAAAATGGAGGAAGCGAACACGGAAGTTGACTGGTAAATACTTAGAAAACAGCAGGTGGCCAAACCAAAAAGAACTATCGGTTAAGAAGAAAGTGAAGGAAACGGAGACTGACATGTGGAGAATGGGCATGATTAAGAAGTCCGCACTAGAGACCTATCGAACTTTTAAGCGGGAAATTGCCAAGGAAAGGATCTACTCGGGGTAGTTCTCTACTGTTTGAGGCCAGGACGGGAGTACCGCGAACAAAGACATATCGGGCCAAATACGAAGGGGTAGACACAGTATGCAGTGCGTGTGGAGAGGAAGAAGAAACTGCCGAACACTTGATAATGTTCTGTAAAAGGCTTCACCATATAGTTCAAGATGATGGCGCAGAGTTTTTCAAAGCACTGGGGTTTAGGGACCGGGAGGGCAAAATGGACTTTAAGCGGGTAGACTTAACTAGAAGAAAGTTATCTGATTGGTGGCTAAAGTCAAGGCTAGAGTAAAAATTAAACCCTTCACTGCAAAGTACGAATCCTCAAACTCACTTTTTAAAGAAAAAAATAAATCTAGTTTTTGGTTCATTAAGTATTACGGCTTGGTGGCGCTAGCCACCGCCTGATCTAAAGGGTACAGCCATATCCATCCATCCATTTAAGAAGGTCCCTAGATAAAAACGTTTTTTTTTTATCTAGGGACCTTAAGACTATTGAGTTCGGGCTGTCACGGTGGATGGACGTGTTTTTTGAGCGCTCCGGATCGACTGCGCAGATAAGTGTTTTTGCGTGTCATGAGCTTGTCTTTATAATTATAAGGCAGCGGTTGGAATCTTCGTAGCACTTATTTTATTTTACGGCTTTTTGGGGGCCCGTCACCAGGTATTTATTAGTTAGTGCGGGTGTGCGTTTTAATTCTTTGTTTTTTTTTCTTTTGCCACCCCGTTGGGGAGGTGCGCGTACATTGAACACGCAAATTTTTGTAGTAGAGCTTAAACTTTCTTTTTTTTTTCGTAGTGCAGGGCTCGAGTTTTGTAATTATCGAGTATAGGGCAATTGGTGTCAGAAAAACATGGTTAAAAAGACTGTAAAGTGTTCAGGATGTGGAGTGGGTTTCAAAGTAGATCCAAGCGTCAAAGCGGATGGAGAAGAGGCTGACGCGAAGTGTAGGCAATGTGAGGTCGAGGAAAAAATGGAGAAAATGATGGTTGCCCAGAGTGAACTGCCGATGAGAATCGCCGAGCTCAAGGCTGCGTTGGTGACAGAGCAAGAGAAAACGAGGGCAATGGGAGAAAGACTCAAGTCCGCCGAGGAAGCACTAGCGAAGCTGAACAAAAAAGCGGCCTACGGAGAGTACAGTAGGGAACCGGCAACCAGAACGGTGGAGAAGGAAGAGCAAGCAAGTTTGGAAAAAACAGGTTCAGCCGGTTCAATTGTCGCAATGCCCAGCTTCAGCGAGGTGGTGGTGGGGCTGGGAGGGGACAAAGCAGCCGGCGTCACAGGTGCAAGTAGCCCCCAGGTGCTGGACGCTCCAGCTGAAAAGTCACAGCATGTGATAATCGCCGGGGACTCGAATTTAAATCGATGCACAGAAGCCATCAAAGAGAGGGTAAGAAGTGACAAGATTGTTGCAGTAGGGGCGTTTCCAGGACGCAAGCTTGAAGCAGTCATGAGGCAAGCGAGCGCAAAACTCAAAACTATAGCTGATAGACGAAACCTCGTCATAATGTCAGGCG